TCGGCTGAGGTGAGTGGATTGCCTGAGCCCGCGGGTTCGAGACCTGCCTGGGCAGCGAGACCTCATCTCTACAATAAATCAAAAAATCAGCTGGGCTTGGTAGCGCATGCCTGTAATTCCGGCTACTTGGAAGGCTGAGGTGGAAGGATTGCCGGAGCCCAGCGGGTCGAGGCTGCGGTGTCCGGGTGCGGCCACTGCACTCCAGTCTGGGCGACAGAGTGCGACTCCAACTCAAAAAAAAAAAAAAAAAGTAAATGTTTTAAAAACATGACTAGATTGTCCACAAATCCTCATTGTCTTCTTTTGTACCCTCCCCCCTTTTTTTTGGTAAATGAAATAGGTATTTAGGCACCAACACTGCTTTTGATGAAAGAGGATGAAAGTACTATAAAATCATTTTGACAAATAAAATGTTCAAGTTCTAACTTAGCTTTCAAAAAGATTTAAAGTGTCCAAAGAAATCTTTTGTTTCTGTAAAGCAGATAGAAAAATAAAATCATTTTTGAACATTGATGGATTTTGCTTACATGACATAAATTGTCAGTTTTTTTAATACTCCAGTTCTATTTTGATGTGGTAAATGACTTTGCTATTTTCAGCTATTTCAAAGGGACTCTCTTAATTGTAGCTACTAATTTTACACCAAAGCGTAATTTAGAAAACTTCTTTAGTTATCAAATCTGCTTACCAACACACTGAAGAAAAATCTTTTTTGGTTTCTATAAGCAAAATTTGAGTCTTTTAAAAATTTCTTATTTATTTCCCCCAGCTTTGCTGAGATATAATTAGCAAATAATATTGTATGTATTTAAGGCATACAACATGATTATTTTACATAATTGTTATCATTGTGAAATGATATCCACAGTCATATTAGTTAACATATCCATCACCTCACATTTAACTTTTTTTTTTTGGTGATGAGAAAACTTAAGATCTATTCTCTTAACAAATTTCAAGTATACAGTACAGTATTATTAACTATATTCACCATGCTATGAAGAAGATCACCAGAACTTATTTGTCTTACCTGAAAGTTTGTACCCTTTGACCAACATCTCCCCATTTCCCCCACCCCTATCTCCTAGCAACCTTCATTATACTAGTTCAAGTCAGTTTTAGACCAGTGGCTTTAAAATAGCACCAATTTGTCTGTTCTAAGAAGCTTTTATTGTCTTCTATGATATCAGTAAGGTAATAAGGCTAATTTTTTATAGGCACTATTAATATTTGTGTATGCCATTTGAAACATTAAAAAACCCTGCTGTTATGAATCAAGAAATGCAATGAATTACAGTTAAAGTAGTATAACTCATTGCCTTTTTAACTTTAAAGCAATGAGAGAGTAGGCTTTATGTGAAAATCCAAAATGGGCTTCACATCTAAACTTTGCTCCTTTGAGTTACTAATTTACATAAACTAACAATTTCTGTAAGAAGAAGTTGGAAAAAATACCATTCAAAAAAATGCTATATCTCCCACAATGTGGAATGTTTTCTAGTTATACTTACTAGTATAATTTTGTTATAAACCATCTTGTTTAAGGATATCTTGTATTTCATTTTCCATTTTGTAACATTAATAAGTAAAATAATTTTCTTTACTGATTCATAGGTGGCACCTTCACTGGGGAGTGCTGAATTTCAACCACTTGTGCCATCAACAACACTTCTATCTGAAGCCTCACATGACCAGTTTGTGGCTGAAGGTATCCTTTTAGGAGACATTCTGGCTTCAAAAAGAAAAATGACAAGTTGGTCTAGACAGATATTTTGAAAGTAAATGTCTAAAGAAAAGATATTAATGAAATAAGCTATAGACCATGATGGAATACATTTAGAATAAATATATCAGAAATTAACAAAGCAAATGCTCTTAACTAGTAAGTGGAATTTGGTTATCAAATAAATAGCCTGATCCAGGATGCTTACTTCTTAGGTAAGCATAGGTATTTGATATTAGAATTGGGGAACTAATGGATATGAGTAAACTACAAATTTTCTCCTCTTTTGGGAAGAAAATTTTATCACAGTAGTCCCTTGAAAGTGAAGAGATTCTGGTCTTCCACTTAAAAGCACATAAAATGCATTGAATCTTTACTTTATTAGAAATGCACAATAAGCAACCTGGGACTGACTTTTATTAATGACAATATATAAATGTTATCCCTTGTATTAAGAACTGCTTCCAATTCTGCTATGCTTCAACTTGTATATATTTTGAAGATTACAACTTAGCTTTTGTTAATTCTAGAGAGTACATAGGCCTTATTCAGTAGCATTAAATTCCTGACTTGAAAGGAGTATCCTGGGGAGAGTGAGAAGGAGGGCTCATCAGAAGTCCAAACCTCGCTTTCATGCAATATACTTATGTAATAAATCCTCACATGTACTCTATGATTATAAAATTTAAAAAATAAGCACAGATGTATAAGTATATGCAGAGAAAATGTTTTCTGAAATATTTAGAAATACTTTCTTAATTAAAATTTTGAATTTTCATTACCATATTTTTTACGATTTCCTAAATAGTATTTCATTTTTTGTGTTTAGTAATTCATGTTAATAATGTGTAAAAGGGTTTAATTGTAGAAAATGCTCATTTGATCTTCTTCAGAACAAAAGAAGTAAACTCATTGTTTAAATGGCTTAGGACATATAATAAAATTTGATCATGAATTTCATCAATGTTTATCTCTAAAAGTGTGTTGTATCACTATTTTTCAACAGCTTAATTGAGATATAATTTACATACCATATGACTCATTAATTTAAAGTATGTAATGTATTCTTTTTTAGTATAGTCAGAGTTATGCAGCCATCACCACAGTCAATTTTAGAACATTTTCATCATCCTACAAAGAAACCCTGTACTCATTAGCAGTCACTCCCTATCTCCCCACATCTTCTGCACTATAGGCACTCGCTAATCTACTTTCTTTCTTTATACACTTGTTTATTTTGGACAGTTCATATAAATGGAATCATACAACATGTGGTCTTGTGACTGGCTTCTTTTTACCTAGTATACTGTTTTCAAGGTTCATCCAAGTGATAGCATATATCAGAACTTCATTTTTTATTGAGAAATAATATTCCACTATATAGATCTATCACATTTACCCATTCATCATTTAATAGACATTTGGATTTTTTTTTTGCATTTTTTTGGTGATTATAAATAGTGCTGCTATGAACATTAATGTACAGGTTTTATGCGGACTTTTTTGGTGTTTTTTTTTTTTTTTTTTTGGTTGGATTACTCTTGATTGAAATTTACTTATTTTCAAGTATTATGCTTTGAATGTGTATTCATGCCCAGTTTTACTGGTTACCAGTCAGTTCAGTGTGGATATTTGACCTCCCCGACAAAGTTTTTCAATCTTTTTTTGTTAAACCTGCAAAAGAATCCTTGAACAGTGCTGTAAGACATTAAATATGTGTTGTTAATGAGCCTAAAGACTAGAGCAAGTTTTTCTTGTTATTGAATGTTTTCTTGAGCTTCATCTCTTTAAAATAGTATCAAGATAAAATATGATTTTTTTTAAGTAATTATGAGATTTTAGCTTCCTCAGCTGGAACATCTAGTGGCATTTCTCAGTGAAGCTGTTTAGTCCTTTAATTTCTTCTATTAATTCTTGATTAACCAGGGAATCATTATGCCCCCAAATGATTTAGTACAGGATGACAAAAGTGTTCTGCAGCATGTACAATAGGGCCAGTTTAGATATCAACATTTTAAAAAATTTAACTTTTGTAAAAGAAAAATTTTTATAAGAAATACAACCTTCTATATTATAAGAAATAAAACCTTTAATAGATTTTCTTATGATCTATAAGTCTCCATTTGATATGCAAAGTTGAAAGTAATCATTAAAAAATAAAAATTTTGATGTGTTTGAACACTGTATATATCTTAATACAATTAACTAGAATAATTTTCTCTAGATAAAATATAAAATTGTATTGAATATATTGAGTGAGTTTAAATTTCTTAAATGCTATGTTCTAACCTCCCCTCTTTGTGGGTATTTTTCTTCTACATGCTTGCTCTAGAAATGCTAAAAACATGTAGTACATATTTTTGTGAATGTTGAAAGATTTCCCTTGAAACCATTTGTACAATTTTCACTGGCATTACCTAAATTTAATTTTTCAATTTTTATTATTTTTTAAATTATTTTTTTAAGAGATGAGGTCTTGCTCTGTCACTCAGGCTGGAGTACAATGGTGCATCATAGCTGACTGTAGCTTCAAACTCCTGGGTTCAAGCAATCCTCCACCACAGCTTCCCAAATTGTTAGGACTACAGATATAAGCTACCATGCCCAACTTTAATTGTTTTCATTTTTATTTGGTTCAAAATATCAAACCTTTTTTGAGTCTTTCTTCAAAGAAAGCTAGTTCATAATATAAATTGATATATATATTTTCAATTTGATTGTCAATTTATTTTGTAAAAATTAAGGAGGACATTTGTTGCTGTGATTTCTTATTTCCAAATCTTGACAAAAGTTGGTATAGTGTGTTAGTGTTTTGAAAAGATGTTAATGTCATACCTCATAAACAAATTACAAGGATTACACAATTACTATGTAGTGTACACTACACAAATTCTTTATATCAATTATCTTTTTTAATTTCACAGCCACTCTAGTTGCTAGTTTCATTTTCTTTGTTCTACAAATGCAGAGAAGACACGCAGGTTCATAAAATTACTAGAAATTGACCTCAGTGATTTACAAAGGTGGTAGAGATGGTGATGGTGGTGGTGATAGTAGGGAGAATAAAAGGTATTTAAAATGAAAAACTATTACAAAGAATAGAACAGACTTAAAACTGTTTCAAGGATGCTAGATACAGCAGATGTAACTGAAATGAAATTGAAGTGTATAAGTCATGAAAAACAGTAAAACAAAGAATTACTGATGAAAATTTATAAGAGTAGGAATTAATGGATTTTTAAAAGATAAAATATATGTAAAACTTTGCCCTAAAACTAGCATCTTACTCAATAGGGAAGCACTAGAAATATTCCCACCATATACACTACTATTCTAATACCTACTACTGTAGGTATTAGAAAAGAGACACCAGTTAGAAACCTAAGAATTAGAAAAGAAGTAACGCTATCTCTATTTTTATATGATATATAGTATGCCGGAATCTTTAAAGAATTCATGATTAAACTACTTGAAACAGTAGATCAGTAAGGTAGCATGGCAAAATTAACATACAGAAATCAGTGCATTTTCTATATATACATAAGCAATTAGAAAGTATAATGTTAAAGAAAAACAACATTTTTCAATGGCAGCAAAGAAGATAAAAATATTAGGAATAAACTTGGTAAGAAATATGCAAAACTCATAGGAAAACTTTTTTATTACTATTATTATTATTATTTAGATTCAAGTGATTTGTTACATAGATATTGCCTGATGGCGAGGCTTGGGCTTCTGCTGAGCCTGTCACCCACATAGTGAACGTGGTACCCAAAGTGGGTAGCTTTTCATCCCTTGTCTCCCTCTCCTTCTTCTTTAGGAGTACCCCAGTGCCTGTTGTTCCCATCCTTATGCCTGTGTGTATACGGTGTTTAGCTTCCATTTATTGGGGAGAACATGTGGTATTCAGTTTTCTGTTTCGGTGATGATTCGCTCAGGATGATGGTCTCTAGCATCATCCATGTTGCTACAAAGGACATGATTTTGTTCTTTTTTATGGCTGTATAGTAGTCCGTGATGCATATTTACCACATTTTCTTTATCCAGTCTGATGGCCATCTCGGTTGGTTTCATGTTTTTGCTTTTGCAGTTAGTGCTGCGATAAACATGCACATGCAGGTGTCTTTTTAGTAGAGTGATTTGGGCTCCTTTGGACATATATCCAGTAGTGGGATTGCTGGGTTAAATGGTAAATCTACTTTTAGTTATAGCAGGAAAACTTTAAAATATTCTCGACAAACATAAAAATGGACATGGACAAATGGAAAGACATCTTTTATCTTTAAATAGAATGATTCAACATCAAAAAAGTATCATTTCTTTCTAAGCCAATCTATAAATAAAATGCAATCCCGATAAGAGTATCAACAAAATAAAAAGATTTCATTAATATGGAAAAAATGAGCATTCAAAAATAACCAGAAAAGTACTTTAACAGGAGACTAGCATTACCCGACATTAAACCATACTAAAAAGCCTATTAAATCAGCTTGTTACTGGCACATGGGAAAACAAATAGAATGGAAAATACATTCTAAATTATAATTAAGTGGCAGCTTAAATTATGAGTGATGCATGACTTTTTAAATAAATGGTGCTGGAAACTGGCTAGCCATTTGAAACAAGATAAAATAGATCTATGTCTCACATCATATATAAAGAATCATCAGGGTTCTGAATGTGAAGATTGAAATCATACAAAAAAAAAAAAGAAAACATGGATAGATTTCTTTATAAAATAGGCATAAGAAAAGGTTTTTTTTGTTTTTTTTTTTGAGTTGGAGTCTCACTCTGTCCCCCAGACTGGAGTGCAGTGGCCGCTCCCGGTCACCGCAGCCTCGACCTGCTGGGCTCCGGCGATCCTTCTGCCTCAGTCTTCCAAGTAGCTGGAACTACAGGCGTGTGCTATCACGCCCGGCTAATTTTTTGATTCATTGTAAGAGATGAGATCTTGCCTGCCCAGGCGGGTCTCAAACCCGCAGGCTCAGGCAATCCACTCACCTCAGCCTCCCAAAGACGCGGGATTAAGGCTGAGCCACTGAGCCCGGCTAGGTTTTTCTTTTTTTTTCCCTCTTCTCTTTGTTTTTTTTTGAATTGGAGCCTCACTCTCACCCAGACTGGAGTGCAGTGGCCGGTCCTGGCCACTGCAGCCTCAACCTGCTGGGCCCTGGCGATCCTTCCGCTCAGCCTTCCAAGTAGCTGGAACTACAGGCATGCACTACCACACCCAGCTAATTTTTTGATTTATTGTAGAGATGAAGTCTCGCCAAGTTGTCCAGGCGGGTCTTGAACCCACGGGCTCAGTCAGTTCACTCACCTCGGCTTCCCAAAGCACGAGATTACAGGCTGAGCCACCGAGCCTGGCCTAAGAAAAGTTTTTCTAGCTATGACTCAAAATCCAGATTTAATAAGAGAAATGATTGACAAATTTGACTACATGCATTTAAGAAATAAATATTGCATGGCAGAAAATACCATAAACAGTTAAAAGACAACTGGCAATGGCATAAATATTTCCAACATAACTCACAGACAAGGTCATATAAACATATAACCTCTACAGCACTCTTAATATTTGAGGGGAAAAGAATGCAAAATCTTCTGTAAAATGAACAGAAGACATGAACAGGTAATGCACAAAAAGGCATAAAAGTAGCACTTATCTTTGAATAAGTACAAATTAATACTACCTTGAGTTACCCTTTCTTATTTATTAAATTTCCAGCAAGTAAGAAGTATTAGCAATATATCCTGTTGACAAGGCTGTGGAAAATGAGCACCTTTATACATTGTTAGAGGGAATGCAAATTAGTACAATCCTTTTGGAAGATAATTTGGCAACATCTAACAAAACTATATATGTTTTTGCCTTTGATTCACCAATTACACTTCTAGGAAATTTCTTTTGATTAATCTCCAACAATATAAAAATACATATGCACATGATAATTTAGTGTAACATTGTTTGTAATTGGAAAATATTGGAAGCAAACCCCCTAAGTAGAAGAGTAGGTTTTTAATAAACATCTACACAATGGAGAACTATACAGCTATTAAAAGAAAGAGGGAAGATGTTGTCAAACTGGTACGGAATAACTTTTAGGAAATATTGTCACATGAAGAAAGGACAGTGCAAAAGAGTATAGTTTATAGTATTTAAAGTTTTCTACTTTTTGTGTATAAAAGAAGGGGAAATTTTAAAATACACATATTTCCTCTTTTGTACAGAAAGAAAATAAAGATCAGCTGGAAACTAATAAGATTCGTTATGAGGACAGGTGGGAGTTAGGCAGGACATGGGAGAGTATGGAAACAGGGAGAAGAGAAGTGATGGGCAAGTGAGTTTTCTCTGTATATACCGTGTGCGGTTTGACTTTTATGGATGTGTATGTTTCGCTTGCTGAAAAGAAAAATAAAACCAAGAAAAATGGGGAAAATAACAGGGACAACAAACAAATTAATCTAGCTGCACTTTTTGCATGAATGACACTGAAGTGAGGACTTGAGTCTTCAAACTAATGGCAAAGAAAACTATATAGAAGCACTGAACTTCAGTTACTAGTTTTATTTTTTGCAGCAGTTTTAGTGAGCAATTTTGAAACGACTTAATATATTTCTAAGACTGGGCAAATAAGTAAATATATTATGGATAATGAATGCCAGGGGTTTTTTGTTTGTTTGTTTGTTTTTTACTTTTGTATAGGGGAATTACAAATATGGAAAGAAGAAAGGTGTTTTAATGGACCATACAAGGTTGAATTAGATTTGAGCTTTCAGTATGAAGTAATGATTTTTAATTTGTAGATTCAGATGTGTGCTTATGTACCCAAGGGTACATACACTTATGACACACTAATAGCAATATATATATTTAGTGCCCAAATCTCGGTTTCCAAATTCCACCCTCCACTTCAGGGATTCAGGGCTCTTTGCCAATATATCTGATATCAGGGCTTAGACTGGGAAAGAACAAACTGAACCTAGAACATTTTGCTGTGCCAGAAAGTAAGGAAACACTCAAAGGTTAGTGGAGTTGTTAATTAATATATGATACATGTACCTTATTTTCTAAAATCTGAATATTGTGGAGAAGGAGGAATCCTTGTACACTGTTTGTGGGAATGTAATTTGGTACAGCCACCATGGAGAAAAATAGGAAGTTTCCTTAAAAACTAAGAATAGAACCTACCGTATCTAAAAGTAAGGAAGTCAGTATACTTAAGAGACATCTGTACTCCTATATTTGTTGCAGCACGATTCACAATACCTAAGATATGGAATCAACCTAAGTGTCCATTAGTGGATTTATGGATAAAGAAAATCTGCTATATATACACAATGAAGTGCTATTTAGACATTAACAAAAAGAATGAAATCCTGTCATATGTGATAATATAGGTGGGCCTAGAGGACATCATTTTAAATGAAATAAAACAGACACAGAAAGACAAATGTCACATATTCTTAGTCATATGTGGGAGGTGAAAAAAAATGGAATTCGTGGAGGTAGAAAGTTAGAATGATGGTTAATAGAGGCTGAAAGGATAGTGAGGAGACTGATAACAGAAGGAATGGTTAATAGGTACAGAATACAGCTAAGTAGAAGATTCCTATTGATCCAGTGTTCAATAGCACAATAGTGCAACTAAATTTATTATATATTTAACAATCATTTATTATTTTCAATTAACTAAAAGAATGGAATTTGAATGTTCCTAACACGAAGAAATGCTAAACATTTGAGGTGACAGATATCCCAATTACCCTGATTTGATCATTACACATTGTATATTTATAACAGAATAACACATTGCCCATAAATTGGTATACCTATTATGTATCCATAATAATGAAAAAATAAAAAAGTTTCATTCTGAAAAAAAAAATCACTAAAAGTATTTTGAATTTGGGAACACCTCTGGCCCCTCAAGTTTCAGAAAAAGGGTTGAACCATCTGTTTGCTCCTCAGTGTCTACGTGCTTGGGGCACAAAGTATATCTTGCCCTTCTTGACTTGGCTCTTCTACTTTTACCATGATGTACATGTACTCACACATGTGGAGGGTGGAGGTGAGAAGTGGTAGGAGCTGGCTGACTCCCTGGCCTCAGGGTTAGGATGAGCTGAGCTCCCAGGGGCATTCCCCAATACCCACCTCATCATTTTCGGGAACTTCTGGAATTTTCCTCTTATTATAAGAAATTGTGAATATTGTACATAACTATAAGGTAAATAAAATAATATTTTAATGCTTATTTTCAATAATAGGTCAGCATGAAACTACATCACCACGGACTCCTCATGATTCATCCCTTTCTGCTCCCCTGCCCAAACAGTGTGTCCTTGTTACTCCATCTCTTCTTTCAGCAGTGTGCGGCCTCTTAGACAATCTCTTGGTGATTGCTTCAAGAGACACTGCAGATGCTTTTCGACAAGCCCATCTCATTGAGCTTCTCTGTAGGTAAGGGAAAAATACTTCCAGTGGGACATGGTAGTGGAGGTGTATTTACCCAAGGGATATCCATGACTTCTTGTGTTCTGGGAACATATCCTTATTCTTTTTTAGGCTTACTAAACTATAAGTTTTACTTTTTGCCAGAATTGTATTGACAGTTTTTATTTTAGACTATCAAAGCACTTGTTTGTGATCTTGACAATTAAAAAAAGCCAGAAAAAAACTCTTGCTTTCTAAAATTCAGAAGTTCTAAGTTTTAATTGTCCTGCAGCACACTTGAGAAATATGGTGCAGTCTTCTTATTTTTAATGGATGTGAGAGAGTTTGGGAATTCATCTTTCTAGTGGTCATATCACAACAATGTCCCTGGGTTGTAAAATTATTGTTGCAAATTCATTTGGAATTATTTTATTATGAGAAACTTAACTTTTCACTAGAAAATATTCTGATAAGATTTTGAGAATCATAGTTGATTCTTTGTGTTTTTATTACTCACTTATCTAATATTAATGAGCATCTGACATAATTTGCCTCTGAATTTCTAATAAAGTATAGTAGACAAGGACTAGATGTTGAATTCAGGTGAATCTAAGATCTAATTTTAGTGTATTCACTCAGTAGCCTTCAGCACTGGGAAAATTACTTTAACCTCTAGAGTGTCTTTAACACCTATTTAATGGGCCTAGTGTGAGGATTAAAAGTGAAGGTATCTAGAATACTCCCATATCTATATTGCTACTTCTTTTTTCTTCCTGACATTCAGTTTATTCTAGCCAAGTAGACTTATCTCCTTTTAACCACTTATTCATTTACATTTCCCTGCCTCTCTGACTGTTTACCTTTGAACACTCACCATCTGAAATATCTTCCTTCTCTTTGCTAAATCAGAGTGCCATCTTTTTCTTTGGAGGATTTTAAGAAAACTACCAAATATAAACTTATTTCATTTCATTCAATTATGAGATTACTTCTTTAACATTTATAATATATAATGAGATTTGAGTTTGTTCTGGTCCTAGTAATTATTTGTCACTTTTCTGCTATGCCTGCTGGGATTGGAAGAGTAGCTACCAGTAAGTTGGCTTTTATCTGAATGCTCCTGCCTTAAGATGACCAGAATGGAACCCTGAGAATATTCTTGTTCTTACGAGTCAGCTAGGAGTCTGATGTGGCGTTAATGCCACAGGGCTGTTAAAGGATCTTTTATGGCAAAGGTTTATCATACTTGTTTTTCATTTTTTATTTTAAAAAATTTGTTTCTTTCACTCCCCCCCCAACTTTCTAAATATGAATGTATTTTCTTGCCAGTGTTTTTGCTATTTTGATTAAGAAAATAACCACCAAGCTTACTTCTATTCACTTGCGATGGGCTGTGTTATGTTTTATTCCGCTTTTAATAAGTCTTCCTTTGATATTTTCTTCAGAACTTTTTGCTTCTCAGCTGTATCTGTCAAAATATTTTCTTGTTTGAAGGTAACCCAGAATACAGTGTGAAATATTTTGGAGTATCATTTTATAAACTTTTTTTTTACTTATGAAGATCCTTTCTCTTGAGTTGTAGCCTCATTACCTTCAGACTTCAAATTCTGATTTATTATTTTTAATAAAAAGTATACTAATCATCTAAAGGTTTTCATTTTCTGACCTCCACAGCATTGCAAATGTTACCTTCATCCAGAAAGGTGTCCAGGAACTCAAGACCCCACTGCCTTCATCACCTCCAGTTGAGCACACTCAGGCTCAGGTAAGTGTCTCAAGCCTGTCTCTTGCCTCATGTCTGTTTGTGGGTTTACTGTAAGTGCCAAAAAATATAAATTCTGCTGAGGAGATACTAACCATAAGGAAAGATTGAAAATTTTTTAGGAGATACATGGTATGATGTGGTTATTTGAAATATGTTACTTAACGGTTTAATATGAACTGTCTTTGGATGGTAGAAAAGAGAAATGGGGTGGAGTTTGAAAGACCTAGGATCTGTTCCTGACCTCATCATTAACCAGTCATCAATGTTTAATCAAGTGTCTAGATATCTTTGAACACCACTTTAAAAAAGAACATTGGTATAGCCTACCTTCCCCTTCTATGATTTTAGGCTATTCCTGTTTTGTCTGATATTTTCACCTAAGTTGAAGTTGTTAAAATACTTGGTGGCAAAATTATGTATATTTTCGAAACCCAATCTGATAAGAATAAATTGATTTTTGTTTCTTCGCAGATATTTACTGTTTTTAAGTTCTTGCCTATACCTGGAGTCTGCATATAAAGCATGCTTAATAATTCTTTGTAGTTGTTGCTAATAGAAATTTTATTTCAAAATCAAATTTTAAGGAGGGCTACTGGGAGCATAGATAGTGAGCAAATCTATGTATGCTCAAAGATGATTAGTTTTTCTCAGAAGAAAAACTAAAGCAGGGGAGAGGAAGTGATATTAGAGTTGGGAGGGCAGGGCTGTTCCACATAGGGTGATCAGAGAGGGCCTTTCAGACAATGACTTGTGACTTTAAGTAACAGAGGAAGCTAGTCCTAAGGACCCCTGAGATTGGGATATAGTTGGGCCATCCAAGAAACAACAAGGAGGCCAGAGGAGCACAGTCAGCTCCGTGAAGGCAGTGCCTTGCTTGCCACTGTGTGCCTCTGTATCCTGAGGATCTCATGTAGTGTGTCCCTGGCAGGAGCTCATTCAATACTTGTGCGATGAATGTATATTAGCTGTAACAAACATATATGGGTGCTTGTTGTGTAATCTTCACATCAATCATCTGAAGTGTCATTAGTGTCTCATTTTATAAAGGAAATGCCAGAAACCCAGAGTGGTGAGTGACTTGTCCACAGTCTCTCACAGTGAGGGGTAGAGCAGGTTCCAAGCTGTGCAGGCTGACCCCAGAGCCCAGAGCACTACCTACTGCAGTGCTTGGCTTTATGTGGATCAAATGCTATTGGTGCTTATATAAGATTATTCACGTATTCCAGAAAATTCTTGAGCCTCTTCTCTACCAGATTCTGTTCTAGGTGCTAGTGATACATGCTTGAACAAAGCAAATGAACACCCATGCCCAATGTAGAGTCTATTTCCTAGGTCCAGGAGACAGAGAGTAAACAAGTAAATAAAATATGAAGTATTTTATTAGATAGTGAAAATGGCATGGGAAAAAATAAAGGAGGAAAGGTAAATGGTATGTCAGCAAGAGGAAAGGTTGCTGTTTTTAGTTAGTGGTCAGAAAAGGCCCCATAAAGATGTTGTTTGAGCAAAAACCTGAGGAGGTAAAGAAACATGCTGTGAATGTCTGTGGCAGAGCATGTGGGCAGACTTCTGGGTGGTGTGGGCTTAGAGTCTTCTTAAGATACATGTGTATGAAAGTCTGTGATGAGTTGGCATTTTTTGGAAGAGGGTCATACACAGAAAAAGAGTTACTTTATCATTTACTAAATGAGTATTTAGTCTTAAATATGATAATAGGCAAAATAGTCGTAGCAATTCAGCTTTTCTATCTCTAATACTTTTTATTGGCTCTTACCTGGCATGGTTTATCTGTTTGTGTTATTATTTCATACATCCAGTGGTCAGACTTGCTATAATTTCCATAGTGTGGGGAATATGAAGTCTCAAAAAAGACTTCACAGAAATAAGCACATTAAATTATACAACTGTTTGAGGAGTTTATGAAGTATAGAGCCATCTTTACTTTAGTATGTCAGCAGGTTAGTTAAAAAGAAGTAGGGCAGAAGAACTATTTTGAAATAGTCTGAGACCATTGACCTCAGAGACACATACCCCTTCACAAGTATAGAACAGTCCCTGACTCTTAATTCTACTCTTACAGCATCAAGTAGGAGGAAAAAGTGTGTGTGTGTGTGTGTGTGTGTGTGTATGTGTGTGTGTGTGTGTGTGTGTGTGTGTAGGAAGAGAGATAGGGATAGAGATTGAGATTGGAGCATAGGGTCGGGGGAGACAGACAGAGAGAGACTGACTGCAGAATCTCTTTATAAAGTTCACTTATGTGGATTGTTTCGTTGCTTGAGGATAGTGGATAAATGAAACATCACAGCTTATTCTTTAATTGTTGCATAGCCAGAGGATTCTTTTTCTAAAAAGTACTTTTGCCAGGTAATATTTATATTATTAACATCAGGCAAATTCAGAGGTGATTTTGTTGGTGATATTGGAGATCTCATTTTTTTCTCTTATAATTAAGAATAGTATTTTTATGCTGAAGGATAGCTGAGGGCAAAAATAAGAATATTTAGCATTTTATTTGTAGCAATAACTAGGCTATCAGGCTAGCCATTTTTCCTACTTGTGCACTTTGAAGAGTATTTTTGCAATCTTTCTTTCTTTACAAAATTATAGATCTTTTGACTTTGCAATATACTTTCTGCTTTATGCAGAATATTGATTCTGTAGTTTAGCTACTTGAAAAATATTTTTTAAATGGAATTCAAAATTTGACTTTGAAAATATTGCTTTGTTGCTATTGTTATAGTTGACAGTGTTAATATGGCCATCAGTGATATGCCTATAATATAAGAAAAATAATGCTTTGTCTGCTATGTATAAACTTTAAAAATTATGATTAATTTGTTTTAGTTATTTATTAATTTGTCTTATGAAAGTAAAATACTGCATCAGTGTGATGGACTAAGATATGTTTTCATGTTATCTTCTTTTCCAACAGGTTTCCTTTCTCCTGGAATACTTATCCTCTTTGTCTAGACTCCTGCAGTCGTGTTTATTGGTGGATCCTGACCTTGTGATTCAGGAAGAGCTTCTGAAACCTCTTATTACTAATATCATTGGAGTTCTCACCATGTGCACTAAAGATGTGTTAGGTAAGCTGTATTTTTTTTTTTTTTTTTTTTTTAGTTTAGGATATAAATGAATAATATTGAGGGGGGAAAAATCTTACTCTGTTCCAGATACTCTCTTCAAGGTTACTTTTGTGAGTTGCTTTTCTGTCAGTATTTTAGAAGACTTTGATAATGTGTTTTATAGTTTGGACGCTTTTAAGTGGCTCCAGGAGAACACTTGAGACAAGTGTGTGGTATAATAAAGACCATCCCTGAGCTTGCAGTTTCAATGAGGTCAAAGCTCTCTATGTCATATGAGAAAGTACAGCACATTCTGGGTGTTAATTGTTGTTATAAACTATGCCTAAAGCCAAATAACCTTATAGATCATTTGCAACAAGTATAGGCCACTCTTGAGTATAATATCAAACATTTCCTAAGGTCCTAAATTATCAGAAAATATTTTATCATGAAAAGTTGAATGTAATGCTTAGTAGAGAAAATTAAAGCAATATAGGATCTTTATCAAAATCTAGTGTGATAATTGTTTAAAAAATTTATATAATAGTTTATAATATATATATATATATATATATATATAATTGATCATTTGTTAATTCTCCTGGCCTTTTAGTTTATACTTATTTAGTCTTTTGAGTTACGGATTGCTTGGTTTAGGTCTGATAAATGAAGTGTGTTATGATATCCAGTAACACAAGTCAATACCCAGCATCATGAGTGGGCATTAAAATTTCCTTAGCGCTAAAGGAACAGTAATTCCTCACTTGGAAATTCTACAAGTGACAGTGATATATTAATTAAGCTTATTAGGTTAGACTATGTAATCTCACATGGTGATATTACCTCTCAACTCCCAAGCAGCAAAAACTGATTTTTGGAAGTAGGAGATGAAGCACACACACAAAAAAAATCTTAGAAATTACAGTGTTTTGTGGGCCCCCAGAGCTCAACTCTGCCCAATAAAATCTTATTATTTAGTATGTAATTTCTCTTGTTGGATTTCCTTTGGTATTCTTGAGAAGCATCGACCTTGAGTTCATGGAAGATACACACATTATGTGTAAGATTAGTGCTATAAAACTGTGGTAAATAGATGGCTGCTATTGGCGTACTTTTGATCTATGCTCAATTCCCAAGTCATATGGCAAATGGTGTTCTGTGCATCTTGGCGACTGTTGGCTGCCTTGTGGATGTTTTTAATTGATCTTCTTGCTTTTGTGTGTGACTTGGGCTTTGAAAATAAAATAGGAATAGTACATATTTTATTATTTAATCACATGAAAGTTATTTAACCTATCATTATGCCAAGTGTTGAAAGGAAAAATTGTTGATAATTTCTAAATGTACAGTGTAGTAGCTAGTTAAGTTAAATATTGTTTTCTCATATCTAGCAAAAAATAAAAGTTCACTAAAAATGTTTTTTAAGAAATTCAGTTTTTAATTTTTTTGGAAAAAGATAGGTTTTAATACTTTATGAAAATGGATTATATTGTTATTTATATTAATTTATATTTATATTTATATATTTATACTAATATATCAATTGCTAATTTGTGTATATGATTTGAAATATAATGTATATAAGTAAAAAATTAAATTAAAAGTTATTCGGCAAGTACAGTTGCAGAACTAAATTGAACATCAATAATAGCTCTTTAATTTTTAACTTTCAACTTAAATATTTTATTTGGCCATTCTAAAGCATTTGTTGAATAAAAAGAATAAGCTTTATACTTAGTCTTTTGTGTGTAAAGTTTAGATATATAAAGGGTACCCCCAAAAAACCAGAATTATCTTTTGGAGGGCAGGCCCCTTATAGTACAGGCTTTCCCTGCTAGGTAAGCGTTCTGGGAACCCACTGGCATCAGTGTACCAAGTAGCGTTGTTGTTGTAAGAGGTCACTTTTGGAGTCCATGAATTTTTTTGTGGGGGGATTCTTTCATTGCGTTTGCCCATTTCTTGATGGGTGGTTTATGAGTACACTTGGACACACTGGGCTGAGTGTTCAGCGGTTTTTCACCAAAAATGGCGTGACCTCTGTGCCCCACCCTCTCAATTTGCCCCATCTCACCTAGAGTACTTTTTTTTGTTTCCTGGATTTAAAAAGTCCTCAAAGGAAAAGCACTAAAAGGATTCAAAATTGATAAGTTCAAAAGCTGTTTTAAGCAGCATCTTGGTAGATGTATTGCCTCAAGTGGAGAGTACTTAGAGGTGACTGAAGTTTAAACACATAAAAATAAATATACATTTTTTTAAATAAGTAAATTCCAGGTTTTTTGGAGATCTCCTCTTGTACAGATAGTACATAAACAGACATGCACTATATTTTGTGGTGGTGGCATATGTTTATGTCTAAAAAGACTCTTCAAAGAGCTGTCAATAATAAAATGGCTGAGAAACACCAAGCATTGCTATAATTCAAATTCCCTGTAAGGTGCTATTTTAAAATACTTTATGAGTGCTAAAGAACATCTAGATGGAAGTCCTCAGTTTACTTTATAGTGGAGTTTGACAAAAGATGACAAATACTGCTGATGGCATGATTAAAGAGTTGTCAGATAGCCCCTGCTCTCCAGCTTCCACTGACCCAGATACAAAGGTGGGAAAGTATGTCCTCACCCTAGAAGGGTAATTGCTTACATTCTTAGCCATAGGCAAGGCTGCAGTCCTTTCTTTTGTATCATCATTTTCTTTGTGGAGTTATGCTCTTCTTGATTTTTCAGAGAAATTATTTTCTGTATTGACCTCGGTATATGTTTTCTCTTTTACACCTGCATGAAGTTGCTAGAGGGGTAATGAAAATAGAGGAAAATTTACGTTTATACAAATAGCACAATGACTTGTTCTTATAATGTATCTAATATGTAGTTCTGAAGTTCTGGCTTAATATTCAATTTATCACACTTTCTGATTGCTGTTGAGAGTTTGTGAGCGTGTCTGTGTGTGGAGGAGGGGAGACATCTTTAAGAAGCAAATGGAAAAGAGAAGTTAATTGAAATAAAATTTGGATAATATTGATTTACATTTGTCTTCATTTGACAAGTGCACCCTTCTTATTTTAAGTGTCATGAAGTATCTGTGGTAAGTTTTGTATTTTGAAAGATTCTTTTTCTTTTTTGTGTTAATAACTTGAAATGTTTTGATTAATTTTATAGATGTAGAGTTAATATCAACTTTTTATCACACATGGACACATCTGTTTAATCTTCTGGCCACACTCCTGAGGAAAGCTGCTGCCGTCTCTCTCCCATCTATCACCATGGCTTTGGCCAAGCACTGGGCGGCAGTGATTGGTAAGAAGATGCTCCCTCGTGCTTGGGGTCTTTCTCCTGATACAAATTAAGATAATCATTCCGAATTAGATATGCAAATTCACTAAAATTAATTAATTGTAGCATGGTATATGAAAGAGATATCAGAGGGCTTGCTTTGAGGAATTTGCAGTGTTCTTGAGGAGCCTCCAAAAAACATATTTTTGAAAAATTGAAACACATTTTAAGACATCATAAAAACAAGTAAGAAAAGTCTATGGTTTTATGAAGATACATATGAACTTATTATAAAACAATTAGATTTTCTTATGTTGGCATAGAAAATGGTCTTTTGACATATGTACAGTGTATGTGGGTAAATCTGCATATATAAAATCCTGTATATATGATAACATGGAAAGTAATAATAAAAATGTAGTTTAATCTCAAAACATCAGGATTTTCTTAGAGCCAAGAGTACAGTATAATTATTTTTATGTTTTTTATATAATAGTTGCCCACTAAAATAAATGATTATTTAAAAATAACTAGTCTTTAATTTTTCATAAAGTTTCCTAAATTTTAGCATAGCAAAAAGCTTTTTTTCTAACATAAGTAGTTATAACTAACACTTATGTTACCTTTAAAATAACCCATTTATTAAATGGATTTAAAATTGAGTTATTGTTAAGTTTCCAAGCTATCCTCTAATTTGGCTGACTGATTTTTTTAACATTTATTTTATTATTTGATCATTCTGTAAATTGAAATATGTTATAAAATTTTTAACGCAGGTGATAATTTTGAAGTAAGATTTATGGGAAATGCATATTCAACAAGAAACAGACTTGTTAGTTTCCTGGATATGGGAGTTCTGAGTCTCCTATACAGGGTGCAATGTTCATGTTGGATATAATTATTTTGCTAACAGAGACAAAAGTTGAGAGAAATTGACTGATTGAGATAAATTGAGATTTTCTTCTTATACACATTGAGGGAAAATTAGTGCATTACCTGAATCATCAATAATACTAAGCATGATGCTACTGCATGAGGCACCAAAGGCAGCTGGTCGAATCTGGCCTGCTATTTGTTTTGGCAAATAAAGTTTTTTTGGAACAAAGCCACACTCATTCATTTATGTATTGCCTGTGGCTGCCTTCATGCTATCAGAGTTGAGGTGAATAGTTGTGAGAAAGGTAATGACTTGCAAAGTGTGAAATATTAATATTTGCCCCTTTACAGAAGAAGTTTACTGACTCCTAACTTAAGCTTGTTAACCTGTTACTTTCCTGAGTGATAAAGTAAATACATATTAAGTTCAAAACCTTCCTTCAAAATATACACAGTTTATGTAAGTATAGTGATAATCAAAAGTAACATGTGTGAGAACATGGAACCAACTCTACTGCCCACCATAAATGGACTAGGGCATTACCTGAATCAGTACATATACATGATGGAGTATTTTCCATCATAAAGAACAAAATCATGAACTTCACAGCAAATTGGATGCAGTTAGAGACCATTATACTAAGTGATCTACCCAGAAACAAAGCCCTGAATACTGCAGTTCTCAATCATAAGTGGACCTTGAACATTAGCACAAAAGAGGGATCAGCAGTCACTGGGTACTGCTAGGGAAGGAAGGTAGGGAAGAGAGTGGAGGGCACATGACAACACAAAGGATACTTGAGTCTTTACCAAGGGAAGTGAGGGCCAATTAGAAGTCCAGACTTCACCGGCATGCAGCTTATTTATGTAGTTAATCCTCACTTGTACCCCACATTCCTGTAATGAAATAAAATTTAAAATAAATATGTAAATAAAGTAAGTTATGACATAAACACTTTGGATAGTAGTAATGTTAATGAAAACACAACTTAATGAGAATCACCATAGATATGCCATGATGTCATTTGTTTTTTAATCAATTTTCATCTCATCTGCCCGTTTACATTTAAAACATCATGTGGTCACTCATCTTGACTAAGATGTGGACAGAATTTAAAAGTACATAATTCTCATGAAACCTGACTGCTAAGTACATTATTTTTTTATGTAACTTAAATTTGTATATGTCTACATCTAAGTAAAAATTCTTATGGTTATAATTTTTACACAAGCATAAATCTAAAATAATGAAAAATCAAACATAAAATTATAAATCCAATGCTTTTTAAGTTAATGCAGTTAATGTAATATAACACTGTTATTTTGATTAAACTAAATCAGTGCTCACAATAGGAATTTAATAGTGACTGTGTCAGTCTCACTTTTTTTACGTTTGGCTTGCCTGTTCTTTCTACTCTGTGCTGTGTTTACAGATCAGTTCATAACCACTCATGTTCTATTTGAACTACTGTGAAATAAGTCTTACTTTTAAGTACTATTTGCCACCAACTTGTTTGAAAACAAACACAATCACACTTATTAGTTATTAGTTGGTAATGTAGATGATCAAAAGATAGGTACTTTGCCTTTGTTTTTTAAGGCTAGTACTGAAATTAAAATTAAAAAGTTAAAAATTCTCAAGACTTTGTGTATCCCAGTAGACTACAAACTCATATATATATATATAATCCTCTTATTTGGGGTCTTAGCAAATATTTGTTTATTTGCAATTGTAGACACATATTCTCTCTCTCTCTCTCTCTCTCTCTCTCTCTTTCTTCATATAAAGAAAACACATGTAATGAAAAATAGATTTTTTTACTCAGTATGTTGTCTGAATACTGTCTAAATTATTTTTAAACACTAGCTATATTCTTGTTATTCATGAACTATTGATAGTTCATCAGAAAAAAGTAAAGTGTAAACTTAATTACTCAAATCAATCTGATTTGCTTCTTCTTGGTTTAATTTTGAAGAAATTTTCAAGCATTTACATCTGAAATTGTTCTCTCTTTTAGATATGTTCTGCAAATGTGCGAGCTTGTCTATCACATGCCCTACCCTGTATTCTGCCAGCCTGCAGTTCCTTTCTATTCTCTTGACTGAAGAAGCGAAAAGGCATCTTCAGGAGAAGGGCAAAACAAGTTTATGCTACAGTCCGACAATGGCTTCACTTCTTGATAAAACTCAGGAAAATCAGAATTCTCTAGAACAACTTAATGAAGTAATTCTTCAGGTATGTGATTTCTTGGTTTTTCAAAACTTTGATTATTTAGTGTTTAAATGAATTGACTTTCTTGGTCTTGTTATATTTTTGTCATTCGAATTAAAAAGTGATTAATGCATATTATTATTGTTTAAATAATACAAATTTATAAAGTTAAACTAGCTATCTCCTCTCTAGTCCCATTCCTCTGATATTGATCAGATTTTTAATGAATATGATTTTAAAATTTGAAATGAAATATTACTAATCTAAATCTAGCAGTTTATCAAAGCAGTGTTTCATACTATAACCAAAATGGATGTATTTCAGGCGTGCAGTTGTAATTCAAGATTTATTGCCATTTTAAAGATATGTCTATATCTCTGAATATGTATTCTAAGTGACCTTTGATTTCTGTAAATGGGCTATATATTTTTGTGGGTGATTATGTGGATAGATAGGTAGACTTAGTTGGCATATTTGTGAGAAAATGTCCCCTATTCAAACTCCGCTGCCTTTTAGGTCTTACAAACTTATGTTTATAACCCTAAAATATGAACTAAGAATTTTATTAATTAAAAAGCATTCTAAGTCACAAAAGGTTTTGTTTTTGCTAACGGATTTAGGGGGTACATATTCAGGTTTGTTACATATGTATATTGCATAATGCTGGGATGTGGCCTTCTACTGAACCCCACCCAAATAGTGAACAGAGTGCCTAGCAGGTAGTTTTTCAACTCTCTTCTCCTTCCTTTTGGAGTCTCCAGTGTCTGTTGTTTCCATCTTTATGTTCATGTGTACCCAGTGTTTAATCCCCACTTATAAGTGGGAATGTACCATATTTGATTTTTTTGTTTCCACAGTAATTTACTAAAAATCACTAAAGTATTATTTTATCAGTAGACTAATAGTTTTTTAAAAACTAGAGGTATTTCCTAAGTTAAAGTTATGCATTGTTTTTTATAAATAGGAATATTTCTGAATTTTTTAATTTTTTTAAGTTGGAGTCTCACTCTGTCACCCAGACTGGAGTGCAGTGGCCGCTCCCGGCCACCGCAGCCTCGACCTGCTGGGCTCCGGCGATCCTTCCGCCTCAAGCCTTCCAAGTAGCCGGAACTACAGGCATGCGCTACCAAGCCCAGCTGATTTTTTGATTTATTGTAGAGATGAGGTCTTGCTGCCCAGGCGGGTCTCGAACCCATGGGCTCAGGCAATCCACTCACCTCAGCCTCCCATAGGCGTGAGATTACAGGCTGAGCCACCGAGCCCGGCTCTGAATTTTTTTTAATATTAGGAATTACTCTTTTTAATTATATGGTTTCATGATTTTTATCTTCTCACTGAAAGGTAGAAAAGTAGTAAAACTGGGTTTGCTTCAGCTTCCCAATAGGCCAGCCACATTTTACAAAGAAAGAAGGTTGTTCCTGCCTGCCAATTTGTTACAGTCCCTTTGTTGCTAAGAATTTGGAGATCTTCCCCCCTTTTTGCCTGTGAGAGTCATGGTCAACCAGTTATTTCAGGTATGACCACTTATACATTCTGAGCACCAACTTTGATTATGTTAAGATACAGAAAAGGCTGGTAGAAGAAGAAAAGAGGACACTCCCTGGTTCAGCTTGAAGCTGTCTTATGAATGTGTCACAGGGCTCCTCAGGAGATTTTGTCTCCCTTGTCTTGCAGAATCTGGCTGTCTTTCCTACACAGATAAGAAGCCTGACAAGGAGTCTGCCCACATTGTCTTATCTGTCTCCAGGAGCTCCTACAGAAGCCTAGACTTCTAGGGGGAAAAGAGTCCTCAAAACATTTCTCTAAAAACCACTTATTCTTGAGAGACCACAGCTTCCCTGTAGTTGCTGCCTCACTCCCATTCCACCCAGCTTTTCTTAATTGAAAATAAAAACTGTTGTTTTTCCCCGTTAGAACAGCAGACTTTATTTCCCAATGATTGTCTGATTTTGCACTTTAAAAAATATTGTAAGCAGGAAAACTGGAATTTGCACCTTTTCAAAAATCCCCCACCCTTATCCCTTAATCTAATTTGATTATAAGTTTTCTAACTTTGGCTTTGGTGGGGCACTCCTCTGCTGGAGAGCGTCCTTTGCAGTTGTCCTTGTGCTCCCCTCATTGGGAAATCTCAGTGGCTTTCCTCCAGAAGGGTACTGTGAGGACAGTGTGTTAGGCCCCTCCCTCCCCTGCCTAGGCCAAAGTGGCAAAGAACTCTGGAGGCCTGGCTGTGCATGAATGACTGTGGTTTCTGCACCAATCCTGCTGGATCTGGTGAAACATAAGACTTTCAACCAGGCCAAGCCAAGGCTATTTTATTTCCCAACCATTTTATCTTGTTAGTGGTGCTGTGCTTCAAGGACCTGTGATGAGACTCATGATATATGTGGATCCCTATAGGGTAATGACCCAGTTTATTGTAGTGTACATAGGAAAAACTCTGTGCCAGAGGAATTTACCTTGCCTTTATTTTTTTTATAATACTTTGGAATCTTATTCATTATAAAAGTTATTGTTAGTAAACTTTTGGGATTGCCTCTCAGCCAAAGAAAATAAGGTATCCTACAGCCAGCCACAGAATATCTCAATGATTTTCCTGATGGTTAGTTAATTTTCCTCTCTATTTCTTCTAAATTATGAAAGATGTATTTTGTGTGAATATGGATACATTAACCAGTTATTTAAACCATATTTTTAATAGATCATACTCTTTTTATTCATGTAAACATTAGAATATGGATACATGGCATTTGTTAGAAGGCCCAGGCAAGTTAAAAAAAAAAGAAAGTGAAGAGAGGAATTGTACCTATGGCATACCTATGAGAAAACAAGTGCTGAATGTAAAGTGGGACAGTTATTAATGGGCTTATTAAATTATAAACACTGTCTCCTTTGCCCTAAAGAGAGATGATATGTGAGTTAAATGTTATTAGAATATATTAAACAGCAGCATATTATCATAAATTCTATATATATCTTACTATATGTCCATGTAGACTGTAGGTTATGTCAAGATATATATGAAGCAAAATAAACTACAGTCTTTTATTCTTGAGGAAATACCATTCTAAAATTGATATCCTTCAAAAGTGTATATAAATTCTCTGTAAAACCATACTAAAAAAATATTTGATATGGCATCTTGGGCAAATCACTTCTTGTGATTCAGTTCTTCAAGTACAAAATGATAGGGTTATATTATATTATTGCTAAGTTTCAGCTACCTCTAAAATCTCCTTCCTCCTAAAAATTTTTTATATTGGAATTTATTTTTTACTTAATTTTATTTTAAAGATGCAGGATACAGTTCAGGGTTAGGTATATGAGTAATCGTTGTACAGGTAGAGTTTGAACCTTTCTTTGATTCCCACTTCGCCTAGTTTGAGATCAAGTACACTTATTGATGCTGTGTGCCCCCCTCTGTCCCCTGGCGGTTTCCAGCTACTGCCAATCCCTTTCCTTATAGTATTCTGGTAAATGCTTAGGGTCTGCTTAGGAGTGAGAACATGTGGTATTCAGTTCTTTGTTTCTGTGATAAATCACTGGGTATAGTAAGCTCTAAATCCATCCAAGTTGCTGCACAGTGCATAATTTTGTACTTCTTTATGCCTGCATAATATTCCATTGTATATATGTACTACATTATTTTTATCCAGTCCAGTTTCGATGGGCAGTATGGTTAGTTCCATGTTTTTGCTATTGTAAATAGTGCTGCAGTAAACATACATGTGCCATTATTTTTTTTGTAGAGTAATTTAAGTTCCTCTGGGTATATTCCTAGAAGGGGGATTGCTGGGTCGTATGGAAGGCCAATTTCTAGCTCTTTTAGGAATCGCCACACTGTGTTCCCTAGAGGCTGAATTTGTTTGCATTCCCAACAGTGTAGAAGCATTCTCTTCTTGGCAAGTTTGTGAATGTCTTCTCCCATTCTATAAGTTGCTTATTTACTTTTTTCAGTTTAATTAAGTCCCACTTATTTATTTTTGTTTTTGTTACATTTGCTTTTGGAATCTTAGCCATAAATTTTTTGTCTAGACCAATATTCAGAGCGTTTTTCCTAGATTTTCTTCAAGAATTTGATGGTCTCAGGTTTGACACGTAGGTCTTTAGTCCATCTGAGTTAATTTGTGTATATAGTGGGACATAGGGATCTGATTTGATGTTTCTGCATGTAGCTTTCCAATTTTCCCGCACCATTTGTTGAATAGTATATGTTTTTGTCTGCTTTGTGAAAGGTCAGTTGGTTGTAGGTATTTGAGTTTATCTCTGAGACTTATATTTTGTTCCATTGGTCCATGTGTCTGTCCTTGTACCAGTACTACGCTGTTTGCAAGCAGTATATCTGGCAAAGGAATAATATCCAGAATCTACAAAGAACACAAACAAATCAGAAAGAAAAAAACGAATTATCTCATTAAAAAGTTGGCAAATGACATGAACAGACATCTTTCAAAAGAAGACATACAAATGGCCAACAAACATGAAAAAATGCTCAACATCACTAATCATCAGAGAAATGCAAATTAAAACCACAATGGGATACCACCTTTCACCAGTCAGAATGGCCATTATTTTTAAAGATTAAAAAACAATAGATGTTGGTGCAGATGCAGTGAAAAAGGAATGCTTATACACTGTTGGTAGAAATGTAAATTAGTACAACCTCTATGGAAATCAGTTTGAAGATTTCTCAAAGAACTAAAAGTAGGTCTACCATTTGATCTAACAATCTTTCTACTTGGTACCTATCCAAAGGAAGAGAGGTCTTTATACAGAAATGCCACTTAAACTCACATGTCTATGGTGCATAGTTCATAGTTGCAAAGATGTGGAATCAACCTAAATGCCCATCAGCTAGTAATGGATAATGAAAATGTGGTATACATACCACCACCACCACCGAATACTATCCAGCCATAAGAAAGAACAAAATAATGTATTGCAGCAACGTGGATGGATTTGGAGACCATTATACTAAAGGAAGTAACATATAAATGGAAAACAAAACACCACATGTTCTCATACGT